TTGCTAAATGTTGATTTGTTTTCAAGTGTTTTATTTTACAAGTTAAACCTTTGTCGTACTAACTTTCTTAATGATACAATTATCTTCATTAAAAAAAAATTGTATAAACGCAAGTCAAATAAAACCAAACACTTTTAACACGGCTTGGTTTGGTTCAGTTTGACATATAATATAATTTGAGTTTGATTTGGAAAAATTGTACTTTTACAGTTTGGTTTGGACTAAGACCAAAACTGCACTAATTAAACCGGATTGAGATAACCCCTAATAATTACGTTTGAAAACTATTTAATGTTTACACACCTTCATGCAAATTAAACATTAACTTCAAGATCCCTTATGATTTTTGGAACAATATATATCCAAATATTAAATGTCCAAAATAGTTATAATTTTATGTTTTTTTTATTCAGCATAAGTTATGTAGTATGATAACAACAAAATGTGCTGATATTTTCTTCTTTTCAGATGCATAATTTCAATAACTTACTACTATAAATTAAGAACTCCAAAAAGAATCCAAAAGCTAGGAAAGAGTAAACGGACAAAGAGAGTCTACATACCTAGCTTTTATCTTTTCAAAAAAAAAAAAAATTTAAACATAACAAAGATATGTTGAAATATTTACTAGCTACTATAATATTCTTGATTCTAGGAATCATAGAGCAACCATGTGTGACAGGTAGGGGGATTTACCCAAACCGTTATTGGGTGACAATAGAAAATGAATTAAACGTACAAGTTCTTGATGTTCATTGTAGGGAAACTGCTCCAAAAATGGAAGATCTAGGGTTGCAAAGTATAGAGGAGCATGAAAATTTCAATTGGACATTCATAGATGAAACTTGGACATCAACACATTATGAATGCCATTTGCCATGGGGTCATGGCCATTTAGACTATGAAGCATTTGTTGATACTCCACAATTTGTTGATGGACTTTGTGGGAGTCCTGAATGTACATGGAAAGCAGATGAAGAAGGACTTACTTTGTATGATCATAGGAAGAAGAGATATAACCATATGTATGATTGGGTCGTGCCTCCTAAATAAACTAATCAAAATTTGTAAGTCAATAATTGACATGAATTGAAATAAAGTCTTTCAATATATATGGTAAATGAGTATTTTATTTTCTCCGTTTTTTTTTATTTGATTTAAGTTAATTAACATTGAATTAAAATTAGAACCGGGTTTACATCTCTCATATCATCTCTATTTATTTTACTTGCTATATTTTGCATTTTACTTTTTTTTTTTGCTTTTTTTTTTTTTTTTTGCATTTTACTTTATTCACTCTCTAATTTGACTTTTATATTTTTAGTTGGTTATTTATAGTAAAAAAATCATATCTATATGAAATCATATGTTTGATTTGTTTTAATGTACATCTTCAAAACACTTGTATCACCTTTTTATATTTTTACTTCAAACAAGATCAACCGATTTCCCTTCTTTTGCAATCAGTTTCGCTACAGCACCCGCTGCTCTAGCTAATTGTCCACCCCTTCCAAGTGTGATTTCTATGTTATGTGTGGCTGTGCTTATTGGTTTTACGAAAAAGCTTCTATTTCCTTTTCTTTAGCTCTTTCTTTTTCTTACCATCATGAAAAGGGTTTCAAAGGCTTCAATTCTTCTTCTTTTTCTTTCGAAAATGGATCCTGCTACGTAAGGTAGTATACCTTCTCAGATGTCCAAGGAGGGCAACATACATCAAAAGAATCCTTTCACGTGTAGCCAGAGAATTACCGTAATTAGTTGCGTAAACTAAATGGCGGACCGTTAAGGGGGCCATTAGGGGCCTGGCCCCTTGTGAGGCCCAAAATATTTTAGGTGATTATGGATATAGCATTATAGCCTAGTAAAAAGAATTATATAGGAGTAGGCTCAACTATAATGTATATGGCTTCTTATATTTTTACAACTGCACGGCTAAAACCCACTTTTGAGTAATTTGATCTTCCAACCAACTTTATCTCCTAATATCTAGATTATTTAGTTATTCAGATTAATTTAGACTTATAACTACAATATTTAATTTTATTGATTTTTTATTTTATTTATTTATTTATTTATTTAGAAAATTTAATTTTATTGATTTGGCACTTGAGAAGTTGAGATTTTTGGGAACTGAGGGCACTTTTGTATCAAACATTAATCTTTTACGAAATATCAAAGATCTATTGGTAAGTTATACGGAGTATTCTTTTATTTATTTTAAAAGAATATATAGAGTGTTTTATACTTATTCAATTAATTGGCGGGCTAGACTTCTGATGCAATGAATTTTGAACTTTTTTTATTAGAAATTTAGTGTTTTTTGTTGTAGTATTAATGTTATGATTCTTATAATGAAATCTAGAATATAGTTTATTTGGTTTTATTTTTAATAAATTTGGCAATATGAATATTATTTGTTTTTATTACTTCGGTTGTACTTTCTTAACACATTTAGTTTGATCGGCCCCTCAAAGATTTTTTTTCAAGATCTGCCACCGCATAAATGTAAACTCGTTCCCAACCCACCCGTTTCATATACCAACCCTATTATGACTCGAACTAATTATGACACAACCTTAATTGAAATTGTCTAAAATATATTGAACGAAACTAACTTGATAATTATTAGCATCGACCCAACCCGACCCTTCAGCCAAATGAACCCATTTCAACCCAAAATCATTTCAACCTGACTTGAAACCGAACCATCAACATGACAATGTTATTATACCCAATGTATAATGAACTGTTTTGATCATATCTGATCTCAATCAACATGCAATCAACAAAACAGATGGAGTAACAAGTATGTCAACAATAATTTTATTAAATTTATTTTGATTCATTAAGAACTACTTATGAGAAGGTTTAATAATCCCAAGTTTCCGCAATTACATATTGCTTAAGCTTAATATTATACAAGTATATCCCATCATCAGCTGCTTTCCAAAAACAATGTCGTCCACCACAGTTATTATCTAAAAAAGGTGCGGTATCAATATAAGCTATGAAATTAATATGCCCATGGTCAGGCTTTGTCAAGTTACAATTATATTGTATTGTCACCTTAAATTGACTTTCAAATGTCCAATTGAAATTAGCACCTTTTGGAATGTTTTGAACACCAAGATCTTCATAATGCTTTGCTCCACCCGTGCAATGAACCATTAGAGTATCATTGCTTAATTGATTATCTATTTGCACCCAATAGCGTGCTTTAAACAATCTCCAACCCATTACTAATGATGGCTGCTCTCTGGTAATTAAAGATAATATTATGATTAGTAAAAACTTCAACATAATTTTTATTTGGTGTTGGTATATATGAATTGAAGCAATATCTCTAGCTTACCTTTTTTTTCTTTTTTCTTTTTTCTTTTTTCTTTTTTTTTGTGTGTTTCTTTAAATCTCAACTTTTCTGTTATTTATAGTGGTATAAGAGTGAATAAGGGATGATTTCAAGCTAAGGAAATTGTGGCTAGTCGGTTACTTCTCTTCTTTGTTGATACTACTTATTAATTATTATCTCCGTTTAATAATAATCGCAACACTTTGATCGATACACATGTTAATGCACAACTTTAATCATTAATACTTGTAATTATATATTATTAAGAAGTATAAAAGTTTGATCTAATGTAAATATATATAAAGATTAACTCAAAAACTATTTTACAAAGCAATATATCTTTTTTAATATATTGATAAAAAAATATAATTAAGTATCTATATAAATAGTGTAAAAGTCAAGTGTTACCATTATTACAAAACGAAAAGGAAACAAGTAAATTTAGGCTTTGTTGGTGTAAATAAACTTCTATAGTCATAACCGTCTAGTACCAACAATGCATTGACTGGTGCCCCATTTATGGATTGCATGCATAAAAAATGGACACAAGTCATTCTGAGCATAGACTTCTTCATGGAAACTATGTCATTTAATACGGAGTAAGAAGTATCTTATTTTTGCATTTATTTAGTACTCTCTTCGTCTCCTAATACAAAGCCTCTTTCAGATTTTGTACGGGAATTAAGAAAATTGTAAATTCTTTAAAACTATGATTAAAAATACATATGTGCATGTGGGGTTAGAGAGAGATAGAGAGAAAGAAAAAGTAGTTGGAAATAATTGAAGAGATAGAGAGAGAACGTGTTAGAAATTGATGTTAAAAGTACAAAAAAGTGAAGGAAAAAAGATGACAACTCATCATAAAGAGGGTAATAATGTCAAAAAATACAACCTTTAAATAGAAAGTGGCAATCTATTCAGATACTATACTCATAAAGTCATAAGTACAAGGATGTGTGTGTGAAGTCATAAATACAAGTATTTTTTTTTTTGTTGAATACAAGTATGAAGCTACAGAAAATGTGGATAACTGGATATCATGAGACCTGATCGTGGGCAGCCTGGCCCACTGGCCCAGCCCAATTGAGAAATTAAATTATAATAGTAGTAGAAAATATTCTAGTAAGATGTTGAATATAATGTGGAGCCAACAAAATTAATCCCTTCGTTTCTTATTTGTTGCAACATTTATCATATTTGGATATTTTATATTACTTGCAACAAATTTTTTTTCTTCATTATTGGAAACTTTTTTCTGTCAAAATGGCTAATATAACCTTATTTAAAGTTTGTTGCTAATCAATGGTAAGATTGTAGCTAGAAATTTAGAATTACATGTAGCTTGAGAAATATTAGCTGGCACAACTAGCTACAAGGGTTGTAGCTAGCTGTTGCAGCCTGCAGATGCTCTAATAACTCGATAACAATAAGTAATTACCAAAAATAATAGTCACTATACTAAATTATCGTAACTAACAACTTGAAATTCGTAACTAATAATTTAAAAAACCATGACTAATAAAAAATAAAATATACTACTACGGAGTATGAAGTAACTTTTCATTCTTTTCTTGTGAATCAGATAATATTGTAGCAAGCAATAACTTTTTTTTTTTTAACTTTGTTTTGATTATTTAATATTCATAACAGACTACTTATAGTTATAGGAGAGCTTATCCCAAGTTTCCGCAAAAATATATTTCTTTTTCTGAATATGATACAAGTAAATCCCATCATCAGCCGCTTTCCAAAAACAATGACGCCCACCACAACGTTTATCTATAAACTTTCTCTCATCATAAAAAGCTATAATTTCTTTACTACCATGATTAGGCCATGTCAAAGTACAACGATATTGTAATTGCATCCAAAAACGACTTTTGAATGTCCAATTTAAATTACCACTATTTGGAACTTCTACAAGCCCTAGATCTTCATGGTGAGCACCAGCATCACCCATACAATGAACATCAATAGCATCTTTCCTTAATTTGTTCTCTATTTGCACCCAATAACGTACTTTTAGCAAACTAAAACCCATCACTAAGGGTTGTTCTATGATTATTAAAGATAATATTAGGATTAATAAAAACTTCAACATCTTTCTTTTTGGTGTTATTTTTTATGAAGCAATGTCTTGCTCTTTTTATTTTTCTAATCCCAATTTTTGTGTTATTTATAGTGATCAGGGGCGGACCCACCTTTAGTCATAGTGGGTCCGGTGACACAGTATTTTTTTTAAAAAATAAAATATCAAAGAGACCCCTTATTATAGATAGGTGGTCTCGTTGATGCTGCTAGTGGTAACAACAAACAATATCAAAGAGACCCTTTATTATAGATAGGGGGTCTGTTTGATGCTGCTAGTGGTAACAACAAACAATGTCAAAGAGACCACTTATTAAGATAGAAGATCTCTTTGATGCTGCTATTGCTACAAAAGACTGTGTGTTTTTTTTATATATTAAAGAGACCTGTTATTTATATAAAAGGTCTCTTTGATGCTGCTATTGCATTTCACACGTTACTTTCTTTTTCATTAAAGAGACCAGTTATATTTAATAACTGGTCTTTAAGTTATCTCACTTTTTTTTGTATAATTTTTTAATAATTTTTTCCCCCTTTTTATATCTTATATTTGTACAACTAATTTTAATATTTCCCCATAAAGCTTATCAATTAACTAAAAAATCATAAAGTTAATTCAATATAATAATTTTATTGTACCATTGGTTTATAACATGTTATTTGTAGTATTTTCGACTTGTAAAATTGAATTCTTAAGTACTGTATTTGGTTGTGATATGAATTTTTGTGTCCTATTTTTGGATTGAAATCAATTTGGTATATGTATATATACATATATATGTATGTATATATACATATATATATATATATTTTATATATATAAGTTTTGGATTGAAATTAATTATGAACAAGACATGGAAAAAAAATTGTACTTTCACAAATGATCAATAATTGATGGTGACACACTATCTCGGAAATCCTGGATCCGCCACTGATAGTGATGTTAAGATTGAAAAGTGGTGAATTGAAGCTAAGGAACAAGTGAATATTATAAAATATGAAGTAGTCGTTTAATAGGAATCACCTTTCGTACTCATGAAATCTATTTGGATTTTGGATATCAAGTTCATAAATGCAGGTAAGGAAATTAAATGTGGATACTTCAAAATCTTACTAGTATTTTAATTATGAACGATTTGTTTAACGTACAGTGTCCGTACAAGATATGTTAAGTTACAAAAATAATTATATTACAATCAAGAGGTTGTATTATCAATCCCATTAGAGGCAATTTTGGGTGGAGATTCTCTTAACCCCCCCCCCCCAAAAAAAAAAAAAACACCACTCTGAAAAGACTTAGTACTCTAACCTAGATCGAGTTGACCTGTAAGAGGTTCCAGTCGGATATGACCATTCTCCTTACCTTTTAGAAAAAAAAATTACTTATTTCAAAAAAATCAAAAATTACTCTTTTCAAATTATAAATAAGGAGTGGTACGGTGAACCTTAAAGATAAATTAGAATTCTCATAGTCATAGACTCAAAGGTCATTATAAATAATGATGAATTTTTATAATTTCACTTTAAGGTTATTAGAACTACAAAATCTTTTAAGTCTTATTGTGAATTCATCATTCATGGATAGACATCAGAGAATCCTTATTGTAAATCACCTTTCCTTTGTCCCAATTTTAAGTACCTGTATTTCAGTATTTCTAATAAGATGTTCCAAAATTAAGTGCTTATTATAAAATCTCACGTAATTTATTATAATTTAAATTATAATAAATATTCTTGTTACTAGGACACACTTTTGGGTAAAAAAAAAAAAAAAAAAAAAGAACAAGACTGCAATTAACATTTGCTTATAAGGGCAAAGTTGTTCAATATTTCATATGACAAAAATGGAAGATTCCAAATGAGGGCATTTTTTCATGGAGATCCTTATTGTTAGAAAAACTTCCCTTGTTCTTAATTTGAGTTCATAATCACAATAATCCATGACTTGCACTAAAACACCTTCAAAATTCTCCAACGATGAGAAAAGTTCAACCATATCGGCATCAAAGAAGAGTTTGGTACATGGAAATTAAGGATATAAATGAGAGTGTTAATCTCTTTGTAAAAAAAATCTCATGTTTGTTACGAGAGAATAAAGAGAAATTGACAAAGAGGATTAGGAATAAAGGTCTTATATTCCTATTTCTATTCTTATATATACATGAGAATAGTTAATAAAAATGTAAGTGGAAAGGGCCAAAGAGGGTTAGGAATAATAGTCTTAAATTCCTTTAAAAAAATATGTGGAGGTTGGTGTAATAAGACAGGAATTGTGAGAGTGTAATGACAAAGTTACCAATTGCCATTGGTAATAAAAAGGAGAGAAGGCTAATTTTCTAAATTTGTAATATACAAAGTGTTTCCTAATTTCTATGCATTTATATGAATCACCGAATAAGATATTTGTCCCAATCATCCACCTCTAATTTTCAAACTCTCATTCGCATATGTCAAATGCCCTCCCAAAAAAAAAAAAAAAAAAAAAAAAAAAAAAACTATAAATTCTTGAAATAATTTAGGCGGCCCTACACCAAATGCACACGAGAACACGAGTGAAGCAAAATGGTAAAGATAATGACGATAAGAATAAGTTCATAATCATAAACACATCATACCTCCAACCAACAAGTTGTAACGGTATATTCTTCTCCAAAATACACAATTTCCTGCAAACACGATCTCACTTGTTTAACCATTGCTAACATTAAAGTCTAGTGGATGTGGGGCTTCCACATGATTATAAAGGGACCAAACCAAAAAAGTTGAAATCATGACAAAGATGTCCTATTCTTGTCACAAAAGTACCAAAAAATGAGTTGGTATTGTGACCCTTTTATTAGCACTTTAGCAGCATATTCCCATTCAATCGGTGTCACCAAGAGGCCAACCATCACAGTTGATCAACAGCTTCGGATTTTCGAAAACTAAACAAAGGCACCAATTTTAGTCTTCCACGGCCACCATTAAACTTGCGCTGAACAATCACAAATTATTATACATTGATAACCATATCCAAAACTTAGGATATCCATAAGAACTTGAAAATTGTAATATGTAAGACTGTAAGAGTTCACAATCGACATTTTCAGGTTCCAAAATGACCTGAAAATGAGAATCATAATGCTCTTCTAAAACACTCTTGATATTGGCTTTACACTATTATCAGTAATGCTACCCAACTTATGACGAACATAATATAGAGTATTGTTGCTGCATTAATAATGCCATATTTCTGTCAAGAAGAACACTTAATAAAAACAGTAACAAAAATCACTTCTAAGCATATAGCAAAAAAGGCATTTGACTATCTATAAAGCAGTGGAGCCCATATACGATCTAAAACAGTTGACGGCTTCTCTGCTCACTTAAAAAAAATTACATCATTCCTTGCCATCAGCAGCACGTAGAGAGCCTAGCTGAACTGGAGCTTGGGTGGTCACGACCTTTGAAGACCCATAAACTGACAGGTCCACACCTTTAGTCTTTTCTTTTTCGATCTCTTCCTTGATCCATTTGTATGTTATCCTTAGCCCATCCTATAGGAACATGGAATAAGAGGATGAGGTATGGTTTGAGCCTTTTAATGATCGCAGCAGATAACCATTGAATTACAAAATAACCAATTACAAAGATAAGCTTCTGAGTTAGGAAATTCATGAAATCTACCTTTAACCTCATGGTTGGAGACCAGCCAAGCTTTTCTTTAATCAGAGTGTTATCAGAGTTACGACCACGGACACCCTCTGGGCCAGGAATATGCTGGATTGGAAGTTTCCTATCCTCAAAGCTCAAAACAATCTCAGCCATCTCATTCATGCTAACCATCTCATCACTTCCAATATTCACTGGCTCTCGGAAGTCTGATTTGGTCAATCTATAATGAATTTACAAAGTTCAGTAAAATTAATACTGCACAGATAATACATAAAGGTAGTAAAAGCAGGAACCATAACAAGTTAATTCTATGCAGCTTACAATTCTACCTTCTTTTTTTTTTTTTTTTTTTTGTTTTTGAATAGTGCTTAGAATTCTACCAAATTTAGGCAGCTACAGCACAAATTTACATATTCAGCCACTTTCAACTTGTGTTCTTTGGCAATCGAAACAAACCAAAGCACCATTTATGACAAAACTAAGCATATTTTGCAGGAAAAGAATTCTGAAAAACCCATCCAAAACACAATTCTGAAAGCTTTTACCAGCATATTCCTAGAAGTCAACCACATTAGCATACAATGACTCGGCCATGGAGGAATGTCTTAAGCTCTTAAAGGTTCAATATCACATGGAATACTCAATTTGTAAGCACTCACCTAAGTACACCTTCCACACATTCATCAATGAAGGTGAAGGATCGAGTCTGCAACCCATCACCCCACATCTCAAACTTGTCAGTAGAAGTAATAGCCTTCCTGCAAAAAGCAGCTGGAGCCTTCTCCCGACCACCTATACATGATTAAAAAATTAGGTAAGAGATATTATAGAGCAATATATTCAATATAAAAAGCATTATTATGAATTGTTTAATGATGAAATAGCAATCACTTAAAATTTATTTCACTCTTGGTTCCGAATAAAGCAAAAGGCATGTTTGATCATTCTAAGAGTATCTAGGCCAACATAAACATTCCACCGAATAGGAGGCTTTAATCACATGGTGTTACCTTTCCAGGTGCCAAATGGACCATAAATGTTGTGGAACCTTCCAACTCGGCATTCAATTCCAAAATCGTTAGTGTAATGCTTGCACAACTCCTCGGTAGCAAGTTTTTCCAAACCATAAGCATCTTGTGGCTAATACAAAATGTACCCAAAAGGAAAGATTATACACATAGCCGAGTGTTTAATCAAGCAAAATTTTAACATCAAATATCCCAGGAACCTTACCTCTGCGGGCCAAGCATCAGACTCTTTGAGACTAACACAATCAGTTTCCAACTGCTTGAATTCAGGGTAGATACACGCACTTGAGGCATAGAAGAACCTGCACCAAGTTTTCAAAAGAATCATCATGAACATTTTGAATCTGATTTTCACTCAAACAACACATAAGAAAATCCCATAAACACCACAAACAGCTACTCCTAAAAATCAATTATAGTTAATGTATAAGAATCAAACCTTTTAACACCACTGATCCTGGCTGCCTCGAGCATATTGAAACTGATCATTGTATTGTTATACATAATAACAGAGTGATTAGACTGGATAAAACCCATGCCACCCATATCAGCAGCAAGGTTAAACACATGATCAACGTCTTTCGTGACCTTCAGGCAATTGTCCATCACCCTAAGATCAACAAGATGAAACTCATTACAAAACATGTCCTCGGTCATGTGCTCATTCTTCTTCCAGTCCGAAGCTATGACATAGTGCCCTTCACGTTTCAAACGCCGAGCAATGTGGGATCCAATAAAACCACCAGCTCCAGTGACCGAAATTCTCAACTTCTCCGACGGCCAGTACGGCTCCCTCTCAAGCTTGTCATAGGTGTAAGCACCATAGTCATTTCCATCATTACTCCCCATTCTGTTAAAACGTTTAAATCAACCAAATTGCATGATTCAGAACTCAATTTAATCCATCCTATCATTCCATTTTAATACGAAGTAATAAACATTACAAATTTACAATTCCACTAATTATCATTAACAATTACAACAGCAAATAATTTGAATAGGAAATAACAAATTAAGCCAACAAGACAATCATATGTCATACAATTTGCTAATACTAATTTTAATAACAAATTAATTAAGTATTAATTACGGCAAATCTACCGGTTCATAGTAAACATAAATAAAGATGACACATTCCAAAACTATATTTTAAATATTAAAACAATATTTTACTGAAACGTTCTAGATCTAACCGACACCCCCATGAAATATAAATCATAATACAGCTAAAATTCATCATAAAACACATAATTCAGCACATAATTTAAAGACAGGCGCAAAAATTAAATGAAAAAATCATCATACAATACCCAATTCATCAAAAATTCCAAATTAAATACATCAAAAAACACAAAAAACAGCCCTACAAAACATAATTTTAAGCCCAAATTCAAACAAACCCAGAAACAGAGAAAGACTAAATTCAATTAAAACTGAAATTATGAAATGAAAATCGAAAACCCAGATAGAATCTTACCTGTTTGGGAGGAATTTCGAAGCGTATTATGAAGGGTAGATGAGAGAGTGTAAGATGATAATGAAAAGGTGTAGGATGATAATGAAAAGGAGTCGAAAGGCAGGGAAATGAAGAGAGGAGAAGAGAAGAGGCAACTATAAATAGGCTAAAGAGTGGTGAAGAACCGCAGAGCGATGACCACTCAATTCTCTCTCTAACTTTCTCTCTCCATCATTATCAACCAATGTTATGTCATCTTCTTCTCGTTTTACCAAGTTGGAAAATTTGATTTTCCCAAGATTTTGGGTTTATTTGGCCAATTGAGGACTATAGGCTAGCTTTTGGAAATCAAACTTTTTTTTAATTGTTGTGTTCACATTTGATTAGACACCTAACACATCTTGTTTGTGTTGTAATTGCATCATTTGCATGTGATTAATGTGAATAGTCATTGGTCAGATCATTGTTTAGTTGTTCTGCTTTACTGAAATTTATCCTGCTCTGCTCAAAAACTCAAAAAAACTAAGCCTAAGTGTGTTTTGTGCATATGCGAGTTGTGTCTAGAACGGATTAGGAAAAGCCCTATCGTGTCTGGCTAGTGTAGGCATTAATAATAATAAAAAAAAAAAGCTCGTGCATAACCCAACCCACACGTTGTGTCAAAATGAGTAGTGATGTGTCAGTGAACCTTCATAGTCATTTTTAATATATTATGTAAAGTAGGTTAGCATGTTGGTCGGTCTACTATGCTAGTGTCGGGCTTGTGCCAATTTTTAACAAAAGATGTCCATGCACAATTCATGGCTCACTAGCATGTCTCCCATGTTGTGTCAGGCTTGTGGCGGGTTTGTGCTAGGTCAAGCCATTTTTATGCTATGCAACACGTATGCAAACCCGAGCCATACCTAACTTTAACATTGAATAATAACTATAGATTTATTGCCATGAAGGCTTAGTAAGAGTCTTCTCTTGTCATTTTCATGTTTGGATAGAAAGAAATGGAAGGAAGGGAAGAGAAGAGAAGAGAAGAGAAGAGAAAGGGAAGGATGCATCATCCTTTAATTGGGTACCTAAAATAAGGATGGAATGAAAGTAAATTAGAAGGATCCATTTTCCTTCCCCTTTTAATAAATCAAATCCCTCCATTATTAGAGAGATTTGGAAGGAAAATGGAAGATCACCTTTTCCCTTCTCTCACCTCCCTCACTGCAAGAAAACGCGCTATTTCCGATGGATTGCTTCCGATGGCCACCTAAAACCGTCGGAAATTTCTTTTGGTTTTTAAAAAAATCCAATGGATCAAGCCATTGGAATTTTCCGATGGCCTTAAAAATCATCGGAAATCGTATTTCCGATGGCTTAAGCCATAGGAAATTTCTGATGGATTTAAAAACCATCGGAAAATATAAAATTTCCTATGGTTTTAAAAGCCATATGAAATTTCCGATGGTTTTAAAAACACAAATCGAAAATTTCTGATGACTTTTATGAAATAAACCATCAGAAATTAATTTAATTAAAAAAAAAAGTGGAGAAACCCTAATTCTATACGCCCCCTTATACCCTTTTACCAGTCGCCCCCTACTTTCTATCTTTCTCATTTCCCCTCTTCTATTCTCTCTCCTCTATTCTCCCCTCTATCTCTCTCCTCTCAATGTTCTCTTCTTCTCATTTCTCCTCCTTCTCCTTTCCTCTCATCCTCTTTCTCATTCTTCAATCGTCGCACCGCCATAAGTTACCGCACCGCCGTAGGTTCCCTAGCTGTCGCCCAATGTCCATGTTATTAAGGTCTAATTTTTTTTTTATTTATGATTTTAAACAAATTCAAGGTTTTTAAGGCCGCATTCGACCATGAAAACTCAAGATCTAGAGTTTTCATGGTCGAATTTGGCCTCATAAAACCAAATTCAAGGTGAAATTCGAAGGTATGAACTTATTAAGGTAAATTCGGGATGAATTTATGGCCGATTTAAAGGTATGTTATTTTTTATTTTTAATCTCTTTCTTCTAATGTTGTTTTTGAGTTTCTTTTCCTTTTTGTTTTTTTTTTTGTTTTTTTTTTTCGCGTTATGGGGCATGCATTCGTGGTGGGTGGGTTTAAGGGGGTTTAATTTCCCTGAGGGTGGGCTAGATTCAAGGTGGGTTAGGGTTGATGTGGTAGAGGTGGCAGTATAGGGTTTTTGTGGTAGTGGAGAAGGAGAGAGTGTGGTGTGGTGGCTGGTTGTTAATTTTTTTAATGTGTGTTTTTTTTTTAAAACCTAACTAAAGTTAATTTTAATGTAATATTTTACTTGTAAGGTTAACATGGTGGTTTACGGTGGGTGGATTTAGGCAATTTTAGGTTGTGGGTTGCAAATTTGGGGTTGGATAATGGCGATTGAAAGGGTGGTTTAGAGTGGAGGGAGTGAGGGAGGGGACGACCTTTTTTTTTTTTTTCTTTGCAGTCATTTCCGACGGCCTGGCCAACGGAAATTTCCGACGGTTTATCTGACCATCAGAATATTCCGACGGTTTTGGCCATCGGAAATGTAATACCCCGTATTTTTGAAAAGTATTTTCTAAATAATTAATTAATTAATATTTTCTCAAAAGGGTATTTTAGTAAATTATTTTACTATTTGAATTTTGGAGCCAAAATGATATTTGAATTTTGGCCAAAAGTATTTTAAAACTTAATTATTATTTTGGGATTTTGGATAAGATTTATTATCCATTTATTTTATTTTAAAAACCGGATTATTTATATATATTTCGGATATTTTAATTAAGCAAAACTTATATTTTATTATTTAATTAGGAGGTCCGAAAATTCCTAATGATTGGCTATTAATTTCAGATTTTCCTAGTGTGGAAAATATGATTTTCTTAGTTAATTTATTTAGTGAATAATTGGTATTCTCTTAATTAATTATTTTATACAATATATATTATTTACACAATCAGTTTTAATCCTTAAAATCTAGCAAAATAACTTCCTAAATTCTACTAAAGAGGTCCGAAATTTTGAGCTGTGGAAGCTCAAAATTTTCGGCCATTTTGATTGATTTTGGGGTGATTTATTTTGGTAGTTTGTATTTTTAACTATCTTCCCTAATTCTATTGCTTTTCCTTAATTCTTAATTTCCATCTCCTAAATATTTGATCATCTTATTTTCCTACCTTATATCATCCTTGATTATTCCCCAAGCAAAGCCATTTGCCATATTATTTTTCATGACAAACACTTTCCATAAATTAATTATTCCTTAGTCACCTTAATATTAAACTTTCCATAATTCTTTAGCGCTCTTCTCCAAGTAATTTCCTTAATTCTTTTTACCATAATTCTTCTTACATTCTCTTACCATAATTCTTGCATAAGCTAGTCTATAAATACCCCTTGAATCATAGCTAAACACTCACACCAAATTCTCTAATTTCTCTCTTAATCTCTCCTCTCTTTCTCTTGCTTTTACACGGCCACCACCACCAAACATCACCTCCACCGCCGGCTGCCACCTGCCGCCGACGCCAGCCACCGCCGCCACCTCAGCAGCCACCTGCCAGACGGCTGCCACCCCTCCTTGCCACCACCTTTCTTCCTCTTTTCCTTAATTTTCTACCTTTTCTCTTAATTAATTAATTATTATTATTATTATGGGGGTTTTATAAAAATTATTATGAGTGTTTTTAATTAAATAAAATCAGTTATTATTCAATTTTATGAAAAATAATTTATTAGGTTCATGTACATATAGTTGGGGTTTTTATTTTAATTGTTGTGATAATTTGTTAACCTTATATTAAATAAGGTTATATTTATTTGTAGGGTGTGTTTGACAAGAGTTCTTGAGGTCCCTTTTGTGTGTTTGCTAAGAAAGGATCAAGGTACGTTTAGGTGGCTAGATACCTTCGAAATTGATTGGATTGAATAAGCATGTTTTATATAATTTTTATGATGATTGAATTAAATTGAATTGAATTATGATTTATGAAATAAAATATGTTTAAAATAATTGTTTTAATAAATGAGTTTGAAGGAATGATTTTATATCATGTTTTGAATGATTAAATTATTTATCATGTTTTAAAGAGTTTGAGTTTGAAAGCATGTTGAATTAAATAAATAGAAGGTTTTGTATTGTTTTATTATAAAGATTGGAATTATTGATTTAAAGAGGATTCATTAAGTTATAAAAGCTTTACAAGCATGAATATTATATTAATCCCACTATGCGGATTCATTGAATACTATGGACTTTGTATGACCTAATCTTTCCTCTACAATAGCCTTTCAACATAAAGATACTAGCTTGGGGGTGTGCACACTTAGAGAGGAATTGGGTTTTTGAAAAGAATTGATTTTAATAATCACTATCATTTAATTATTGAGTATTGGAATTATATTTGAGTATATTGAGAATTGATTTTGAAACCATAAATTTGGAATTATTGAATTAATTATTGGAATTGATTTTAAAAGCATGTTTGCTAATAAATTGAATTTACTTATCTTGCACTTATCGTACTTAGCATATTTTGCTAATTCGTATTTCCTATTTGTTTTGGTTCGCCCTATTTACCTTAATGGTAAGCAGTGTTGACTATTTTCAGGTGGAGTCAATAAATGAGCATTTTGGGAGTCCCAGTATATGCTTCACCTAGATCTAGGAATGTTGGTCTTTGTTTCTATTTTGAGTACTCATAACATTGGTTACTATTTTTTATTAAGTATTAATAAAGAAAGAGTTTGAATTTCCGGTGCGAAGTTTTAGTTTTAATTAGAAGTTTGAGTAGCCTTGCGTGTTATAGTAGTATTTCCGTAGAGGGAGATTTGGGGGTGTAACAAGAAATTTCCGGTGGAATTTCTAGGGTTGTTCAGAGTTCGGTTTAGACCGCACCAAACCGCAATTTTATTGTTTGGCGCGGTTTGCGGTTTGAAAATTGCGGCGCGGTTTTTTGAAAATCAACAAACCGCGGTTTGCGGTTTGGTGTGATTTCCTAAAAAATTTAGACCAAACCGCACTTTGATGCGGTTTGCGGTTTTTATATTATATTTTTATTAAAATAAATAAAAAAAACAACTAAAATATATGAGCTAGTCTTTGACTATTAGCTAATTAAAGGTTAAAAAAAATATTTTAATATTTGAAATATAAATTAATAATCTCAAAATAAAATAAAAGTTTTGTTTAAAAAAAATATGGTTAAACCGCAAACCGCACCGCACCAAACCGCATTTGCGGTGCGATTTGAAA